GTGGGTGGGATAAGGAGATGAAGTTAGACAGTCTTCCATTCCATTTTGTTTGTCATTAGTGTCCCATATTCTCTCATTCAGTGCATATGAAAACAATAATATTGGTCGTAATCTCAAGTTTGAACATAAAAATAAAAAAAGTGGTAGCACCAATAAATAATATATTCTTTTAACTTCTTGATTTTCTTATCATGTGTTCATTAGTATTAATCTAACGACTTGTGAGAAGATAACCAGCCATTTAAAGATTGCTATTTTATCTTCTTCCCCAACCTGTTTATTCTTTATTGTTGTTAGCAATTCCATCTTTTACTTAATTGTTTATAACTATCATACAGTTTATAGAAGAACATTAACGCCAATTTTACAAAATTTACCGTCATTAGAAAGTTCATAAAACAAAAGATCTTAACGTTAATGAAAAGCAAATTGAAACAATATGTCGTATATTTATTAAATAAACTTGTAGAAATTTTTTGATCACATTCTTTTAAATTATAAATTTATATTTCTTATTTGTTATTTATGGTGAAATTATTAACATTCTTTTTAATTTTTTTTACTCGTCAATTATTGTTGGGAAGGTTTTTTTACTTTCTTAAATATCTTCATGGCAGACTGTTTCTAGAACTCGAAATTCTCTTGCTCAAAAAACTCACCCTTCCTGCGATAGAAAGTACCGATAATTTCAAATGTTATGAAATTATATTTTTAGGAAATAAAAAATATCTTCCCCTTAAAAAGAAAAAAAAAATATGTCAATATTCTCTTTACATAAAGTAGAAAGAACTAATAAGAAGTACAAGAATAATATGTGAATGATAAAACTAAAACGTTATGCGCAAAAATAATAAAACATGTTCAAACGTTCATTGACTGTGGTATATAGATATTGTAGCCTTACAATTAATATTGTGCTAGCGAGAGGAGGGTAGTGGGAGTTGAATCTGATACTAATTTCTTTCTTTGGCTGCAAAAAGAAAGGACAGAAGGAAATTTTATTTTAAAAAGCATTTTAGACGTCAAAGCCTATAAGGACTTTTTATAACGCTTTCCCGGAGGCTTGAGCTTTCCGTTTATGTATATATTAGTTGAGCTAGTATACGTTTAATTATTTTATGGAACTTTTCAAATAATTTAACGTACGTCTATTGATTTTACTGAAGGGTAATATAGTTTTTAAATTTTACAGGGTTATTTTAGTNTATATACTTTCTCTCTATAGAGAAGTGATAGAACAGATTTTTTTTTTCATGTAAACAAAAAGATTAAGTTTCATTTTTGTATACATTGTAAAAGAATTTCAACTTTATTATATCACAAAAAGGGATAGTTACAAGTAACCATTCAAAAAAATGGAGAATTAGTTGCTTGAAAAATTAAGCAAATTTGTCTACTATAATATGTTAAAATATATTGATAGTATAATTTTTTTTGGAACAGCTAGTGTATATATAAGTTAAATCAAAGACATCAAATATTCACAAAGCGATCAAATATCGTCTTTATCAAAACCGCCAAAGTGATCAACAAATATTTTTCCTTTTCATGGATATCAAATACATCATAAGGAAGTTCGCATCATCCTACGTTCGAGAAATACGCCGGTTAAGCCCGTAAATTACGGAGAACGATCTGGAGAGAAGAATTAAGAAAACAAGCAGAATTGTACCCGCACCATTTTATCAATAAAATTATATTTTTTAATGTTAAAAAAAAAAGTTAAATCCAAATATTAAATACAACCAAAATGTTAGAATAATAAAACCTAAAAAGGAGTGTTCTAACTACAGTCTTGTCACTTTAACAAAGTTTCATATATTAAAAAAACAGTTGTACGTGATTTGAGTTTGACGACAGTGAGTTCCAACTTAAGTAAGTTTGTGGCTAAGCTTGTAAAGGATTTTCCTAGTCACTAATAGTCAAAATACTGAATTTGAAAATTTCATTTAGTGGGGAAACTATTTGCAGATAATAAATAGTGAGGGGACCATTATCCCAATTTTTGAAATAGTTTCTACCCCCATTAATTCTTTCTACTCTTTTTTCTTTCACTTCTTATTTAGACTATCATTTTTTTCAGATAATTAATTAATGATTATTAAGAGATTTATATGTGATATTGCCTAATAAGTATTCCTATATGATTGTGAAAATATTGTTTTATACTTTTTGTACATAGAACTTAAAGTCAAAATATAATTCAATGTAAATTTCTACATTAGATATATTGCACTTCTTGTTACTAAAGACCCGTTTAACAGTAGATTTTACCAAAATAAATTTGGATTTTATTTGGCAAACACATGTTTGGCCATAGATTTTGCCTACATATTGACAAAATCTCAAATTTAAAATCCCAAATTCCAAAACCAACTCAATAGCTGGTTTTGTGCCAAAATATCACTATTACATTTTTTAAAAATTGCCTCAAACTTTTTGTATTTTATAAAAGAGTCCACCATATATATTATTTTGTAACAGTATTGATTCGTCTTTTCGGTCATCTGATAGTGTATCATGTAGTTCATTAACAAAATGATAGTTTTGTACCAAATTTATTTATGTTCAGGACTATGATTTGCGATAATATGATGAATGTTATTGATAATGGTATTGTTGGGTATTTGTGATAGTTTTTAGAACTTGTGGGTATAAGTCATGTTTCATATTTTTTCAAAATAAATTTGGGAAATATATTTTGAAAACTGATGTTCAAACACATTTTCATCTTCAAACCAAACTTCATCTAAATCAGATTTTTCAAAACAAATTTGGGAATCTATGGCCAAACATTAGCTAAATCTTTTTTCCACCTCTTAGTTTAGATTATATGCCAGTCAATATTCAAACTTAACCTTTTATTTCTAGTAACGTTTGGTTTAAAATAAATTTTCATATTTTGTCATTTTCATTTCGAAAGAAGTCTTAAAAAACAATGAAACCGTGTTTGGTAGCTTCAAAGAGCAAAATTTTCACGGAAATTATCACAGCAAATTTGGAAAAAAGGACTTCAACCAGTTTCCTATGGTTTTCCTCAGCAGATGTAAACGATTGTGGTACTGTTTCTTCAACGAGGCGTCCACATCCTAATCAATTTATGCATATGGTACTTTTAAAAAAAAAATTGAAAATGAAAATATGTTTAAGAATTACGTAGTAATATTTTCAAAAAAGAAAAAGAATAGTGGACAACTTTTACATTTTCGAGTCCTCTGAAATTTGCACAAGGATGGAGCTATCAATCCGTGCAGATAATTCTGTACAGGACATTATCTTTAAAATTGTATACATTATATTCAAATGAAATCGTGGGTTGACCCCTCATAAAAAACATGAAAGTACTATGTAATTCAGAAAAAGATGACTCAATGGTACATTTGATTTTTTAGTCCTTATACAATCTTAGTGCAGGTATGTACGAGTGTCCAAGATACAATTGTATTTAGCTAAGTAAATTGTTTTAATGTTGAGAAATTTTCGTTTCTTCCATCACTAGGGGTGAAATGGAAAAAGCTTAAAGTTGAGGTTCCGATTGGCAATTTTCCAAATTTCCCTCTTCATTTTTTCAGTTTTCGCTTGCCTCAGGCCTTTAAAATCTAATGTAAAAATAGCATGGGCTAACCAGTTTTTGCACTGATCATTCAAAAATAATCAACATTTACAAAGTCATTGAAAAATAACTACTATTTTGCTGTAACAGGGACCGGTCCAGCATAATATACTGGAGATTGATGCACCTATGTAAGAACTTCCAGCATATTATGTTGGAACTCCAACACGAGGAAAGTTCCAGCATAATATACTGGAGATTGGAGTACCTGTGTATGAACTTCCAGCATATTATGTTGGAACTCCAACACGAGGAAAGTTCCAGCATAATATACTGGAGATTGGAGTACCTGTGTATGAACTTCCAGCATATTATACTGGAACTCCATTATAATATACTGGAGTTCCGGTATACTTATGCTGGAACTCCAGTATATTATGCTAGAGTATTTTCCGAATTTTGAACAGTGTTTTCGTTCAGATTTATCTTTACATGAAAAGTGGCTAAATTTCGATACTTTTAAAACTATGGCTATTTTTGAATGGCCACTTATAAATCTGGCTATTTTTTAATTTCTCCCAAATCTAATTAATGTTTGAGCCTATGGAGGAAACTAAGGGGTGATTTGCACAAATAGGACACTTTAGTGCCACTATTGATTTTTTTGACTTCATTGACAGAACTTCAAGTTTGACAAGTATTGATCATCGCTTGCCCAATGGGCATCACTTTTGACCTCACGGGTTTGCCCATGGGACAAGCGGAGTTCAAAAATCTAGACCATCCATTTCAAGGTCATTAGCTGTAATTCCTAAAAACTAAGCTGAGGTTTGGTATGGCATAATGCCATATATTCTTTTCTGGTCTCTCAAGGTCATTAGCTGATTTAGATCGTCAAATACTTGAAGTCATAGTCAAGAATTTGAATTTTGGTGTAAAAGAAAGGTAACGCGTATAAATTGTAGAAGGAATAATTGGTAACAGTACATTTGAAACAAAATTTAACAAGAGATGCACACAATCTTCAATACCAAGCTCGACGTATAATGTCGTAATCCACACTGTTTATAATCTCCAGTCTCCAACAAAACTTAGAAACATGTCTTCACAATTATCACTATTGTGCAACTTGAAATATGTTGATAAATTTAAAAAAAAAAAAAAAAAAAAAAAAAAAAAAAGAAGCTTGAAAGAAGGCACTCAACTCCATTACAAACAGATGACAACATTCCACTATATTTCATCTGGCTGTTTCCAGTTTACAAGGTGAAAAGAAGATCCCAACCATCCTGCCTAACAATTTGCCCAATAAAACCAACCTAAAACACAATTTTGTGGTACCAAGCAAAAAAATATGGAACTTTACAACAATGCTGGCCTTTTAAATCAACAGCAGGAAGCATTAGCTTCACGACACAAATCAAAAGGTTGATGAGATAAACTAAAACAAATAAATAATTAAGGCATCACAAATATGGCCCATGTAAATTATGCAAGATGACTAGAACAAAAATCATCTTAAGATGTACAAAAAGTACAGAAGAATGGCTCATGCTTTCATTGTTCCACTTCTAATGCAGAAGAAATCCATTCTGATGCAGCTGCGTGAACGTCTGTTTCCACATGCATCACAAGAGAGACTGGAGTGATTGCCACCTGAAGAGCACAAATAGACCCCACCAGTTAAGAACATCTGAAAAATAGTGCTTCTACCACTGTGGTGGAGTGGATTGCATAGCATAAACTGGTTCTAAAGAAAAAGTTGAGTTCAAATATTGCATATGTAAGATGTACAAGGGCACAGAACAAAAAGACACCCAAACACAACTGTTTGACAATGAGTTCAGACCTTTAAGTAGGTTAAAAAAACATTCCAGTTTGGAACAGAATACCCGAAGTGCCATGCAGGAAAATAACAAGTACTCAAGGATTACAGAAACAAACTTACAAATCCATTTTCAAGAGCTCTAAAATCTAAATCCTCATCTTCTTCTTCTTGCTTCTTGTCAAGCAACTGCAGTGCAAATAACCAACAAAGTCAATGGGAGAACAAATTAAACCCAGTTAACAAAAGCTTCAAGAAAAGGGCAGGGTTGGTTTGGTTTGGTTGGGGGGGGGGGGGGGGTGGGGGGGGGAGGAGGAGGAGGGAATGGCATAGATGAGAAGGGGTAGCAGAAGGAATGGTGGTGCACTTGGCTGTAACCACATTTAGCAGCATTTCAAGAAATCAGCAGAAGAAGCATCTTATATCATCAAGAATAGCATTCCGTTTATTAACAGGCTCAGATACATCACATCTCTCCACCTTTCTTTTGATAGAGATTACAATGTCAGAGTTTGTAGTTTCAATTCGAAATTTAACTGGCCCTTTGTACTCAATACTCATCGAGGAAAGCAGCTAGGTACTATGTTGTGGGAGAAAGGAAAAGGCACACTTACCTCCAATCTGAAGTACTTGACTTTCCTATCGGGATCAGATTTCCCTGCTACACCAACAGATTCAACAACCTCTATATTCTTTCTTTGTGTAGCTAATTTGCGAGCAGCACCCTGAGAAAAAATAAGAAGGCAGAGGTTTGATGATGTTCAAGAGAGGAGGAAAGACACGAGGAACGAGGCAACCAAAGACAAGTAGGGACACCACTTCTCATTTTCCAAATGTATGTCACAGTTTTCATACAATTACTGCACATTATCATCTTAACAAATAAGATCAGGCATCTAAAACTACCTCAGATACTACTCGCTAACCTGAAACTGCGAAATGAATCAACTTTCTAGTAACTACCTTTCAGTTGAGCACTTGAACTTCTAGATTTATTGTTCTTTCTGTTTTTAGTTATATATGTATTTTTTCTTCTTTGTTTTTTGGGGGTTGACAAGTTGTAGTTCCATACACATTATTCGTACAGTGGGATTGAGGCAAAGGCATAGCTGCTTGATTGATGCTAATACACTTATTCATGATAACTTCAACTCTTTACAAGTTTCTTTTAGATAAAGGACAGGGGTCAATTTAATTCTTAATCTCAACTGTAACATCACTGCTTTGCTCCAAAGGAACTCTATTCTCCAAAAGATCATAGGATCTCTCTGTGATGAACTTGCTTTCACCATAATGCAGTTATTACGCTATTACATGACATGAAGGAACAATTATATTAGATACAGTGTCATCTACTCACTGCCGCAGAAGCATCTCGACCTAGTTGCGCAAGCTGCATCCCGAGGCTTTGCTGACTTGGAAGAAAACGCCCAGCAGCAAGATTTCTGGTTGATGAACTAGCTTGCCAGCAAAGCCTAGAGCTCCAGAGACTTTGCTTGGTCAATTTGAATCCCTGTCAAATAGAGGCTCTGAAATGATATATCTGTTTTTTATGCAAGCAAGAAAATAATATAGTCCGCATAAATAACGGCAGGCCCTGACTTCAACTATAGGTGGATTGGAGAAAAAATGGAAACGTGCTTTTGCTTTGGCACCCAACACAGAGAAACACATATTAATCTTTCATCAGTGGCGGATCTATGCATCACATTTGGGGGCTTAAGCACCCATTGAACTTGACAAAAAGTGTGTGTAATTATATTAAAAATTTGACCAAATGGATATAACAAGGCAGCAAGCACCCAGGTAATAAGAGTTTGATGGATGCTTTAGTCAAGGAAAGGTGCTGGAAGTTTATGAAAGTGGGGCAGCGAGAATTTGATCTCACTTCTAACATGTCCTTTTTAATAGGTATTTTCCCTAAAATATCAAGCTTCTTTCTTTTGCCCCAACTAGGTCTACTTTTTTCATTCTTTCCACTAGCCACTATTTTGACAGAAATTCTACTTATTTTTTTTTTTTTTTTTTTTTTTTTTTTTTTTTTTTTAACTTTATCTAATTCAGTATAACAACAAAAGAAAAAGAAAATCTACTTAAAAAGGGACTCCAAAGTGGTCTCCTAGAACAGTAAATCCACCAATCTCTTTTCTCACTAGTTGTCTTATCCATCACAGTTTCACGACGTCTATAATATTAATACTTTTCATTAATTTTTTTATCATTGTGTTCAAATAGTTATGCACTAATACGATGTGATTGGTAGTACTTTATGTCAAAAAGTTAAGCACCCACGAATCTAAAATTCTGGATCCACCACTGTCTTTCATGTTTATACCAGTTATAAGGGCATTACTTATCTCAAAAGCAATGGTCAGACTTCCAAATCATAAATCAAATTCCTTTCCTCAATCTGAAAGAATCGGGTTCAATTTCATTTTCCTTTCTGGAGTGGGTGCAAGGACAGATTTGGGGCTAACCAAGAGAAGCATGACCATAGTCATCATGGAACCCTGACCCACTATAAGAAGACATTGCCACACAGGCGTGATATACTACTCATTTCTTTCTTTCCCCACGGAGGCGCAGTTGAGATAGAGAGAGATATAACAGACCTTGTTTGTCAGAGGAGATTTCGGAAGTCCAATATGCAACAAGCAAAATTTTGGAAAAGCTCCCTTTTTAATATCTCTGATGGCTGCACTTATCAACGGTAAACAAACACTCACGGCATCCTTGAAATCACTTTCTTGACTTTCATCATTCCTCCTAAAGTAGATTATTGAACACACTATTAATTTAAGACCGAGAAGAGTGATCGAAGTTTCAGTCATGTACTGTAGGAGAAGGGTAAGTACCAGTCAAGTGATATCGATATGGACGGCACGCCATTAAACATTGCCTCCCTCGCACCAGCTACGACACCCGAGTAAAACCTGGACAGTGAAGTAATACACATAGATAGTTACAGATGTTCTTAAGGAGACAAAAGCAAAAGAAATACATGTACAAGAAACCTTCTATCCACAACCTGAATAACTTAGTAACTAAATAATTTTAAGCAATACATGTGTGCCAAGTTACAGTTTACAATGGCAAAGATTCTGGAAGGTTCAGCTTATGAAGTCAAAAGGAATGTCAGCCAAAAAGAAGCAGTACTTACATATGATGGCCACAACTTGAGCCCCTGTTGATTCCACTTATAACCTAAACATCCAAGGGGAAAGAAAATAGAGTAGACTCAGCAGGTTACCAATACCAAATCGAAAGATCGTTTTCAAAACAATGATATAATTGAAAGGGCGCGAAAGAATACCAGGACCGGCTTCGACCAGGAAAACAGAGCCCCAGACAAGGCTAATGACACACAATCTACGGGAGTCCCTGAAAGCAGATTAAACCCAAGAAGCATAACAATGTTAAGCTGAAACATGGAATAGAATTCTAAACATACAAATTGTTCAACAAAGTGAAGTTACTATGTTTTACAGTAATCCTACAGCAATTATATGCCCATACCAGATACTTCATAAGCAGTAGCACCATGAACGTCCGTAGGAGTAACTGCAACGGTTTCTTTAAGAGTAACAGAGTGGCCCGCCACCGATTTATCTCTACAAATAGCAGACATCATTTAATTTTTAACCACAAAACAAAAAATTCTTCAAAGTCATTCAAAATCTTGGATGTGTTGCTTTTTTAGCTTAAACTAAAAGGCACTCACTAAGCTTACAGAAGGGTCCACATTCAAACTTCAACAACAAAATCAGCTAACAGAGTAAAGAATTTCAAAAGTAATGACAATAAAACCATAATAACAGCGACAATACCTCAGTTGCAAACAAGTTGGGGTCAGCCAATTTTTATACAATAGCATGATTCAACCGCAAAACAAAAAAAAACTTCAAACTCATTAAGATGTGTTGCTTTTTAGCTCAAACTAAATGGCACTCGCAAAGCTGACCTCTCAAGGGTCTACACAAACTTCATCACAAAATCAGTTGAACACAAGCTAAACATATCCAAAATTAACGACACTAAAATCACAAACGGAACTTAATTTTCTTTCTTTTTCCTATTAGGAGTTGGGATTGGCGTTAAGGGTCTACGTAAAATTAATGTAGCAGAACAACTTGTATCAATGTAAAAAAGATACTCCCTCGAAAAAAATGACACATTTTTTATATTTAAAAACAATTCAGTTTAACCTGAATAAGAATTTATAGCCACATAAAAGTTATGGCATGTTTAAGATAAGAATTTCTTTTTTTAAATTCGGCGTAGAGTCAAACTATGTTACATATATCGAAACGGAGGTTATAGAAAACTCACGATTGGGGAGCGCAGACGTTAACATTACAGAGGCCTTGACGAACAAGAGCATCAACAAGACACGTCAGCCCAGGAGATTCAATCCCATCAGCGTTTGTCACCAATACAACGTGTTTCGTGCTCTCGGTGTCAGTTGCATCACCGGAAACCGAGTCAGAAGAAGAAGGCTGGGCCGCAGGTTCATCGTTATTATTGGGCTTCGATTGCTGATCCTGGACCCCACCTTTTCTGTTGAGAAGAACTTCCTGAAGATTGGATACCAGGCCCGGTGGCAAAAAATTGTTCTTCACCGCAGAAGTCGTCATTTTTTCCAATAGATGATGAAGATGATGATTACAAGGAAATGAAAAGGGAACCGGTTTTTTTAGCTACAGGAATGGGGAAATTCAAAACCCTAGAGAGCAGTTTTCAACAATGGATATACCTGTCCCCAACGGCGGTGTTTAGAGAGAGAAAGAAGAGAGAGAGAGGATATGGGTTTGTTTCGTCAATGGGGTACCGTGAGGAAGGAAAGGACTGAAGGAACAGTTATGAAATTGACGCCTATAAAAACTATTACAGCAATTCTCATTCTCATTGAAACGCGTTAGCTACACGAACTCATTAAGAACCAATGGAACAACTACTACATCTTTTTGGTTGAAAATTAACCTCAACTTATATGTCTCTGCAAATTGTGTATATTAATTTACTAAAAAACTTATATAATGTGAAATGAACCAGACATACCCTGAGGAAAAAATAATAAATGCATGCCTCGAATTGCATTGAAAAATTTATTGGATTTAGGGTCCGCTTGGAAAGTCATTCGATAATTGAAATTGATGTAATTACTCTCCCCGGTTCATAATAAGTGACTACTTTATTTTGGACACACCCATTAACGAAAGTGTTGTTTGTACACCATGCCCCTTTACAATTTGAATTTAAGAAAATGACCTTTTTAGATCTCTTATGTGTAAAAAAAAATAGATCTCTTACGTGTAAAAACTAAAAATAAATCTCTAATGTGTAAAAAAAAGAGGTAGTATCGTAAAACTAAAAACAAGTTTGTAAAGATCCAAAAAACCAATTGACCCTTAAGGAAATACTAAAATCTAGACAAAAATAGTTAGTGTGACTAAACTACCCTTAATTAATTGTTGCAACATAATTTAATATGAGTAAAAAGACTTTTTAGGGATACGCACATAAGGGTAATTTTGGAAAAACAAATTAAATTTTTCCTTGATTATATAAATGGACACTTATTTTGGACCAAAACAAAAAAGTAAATTGGTCATTTATTATGGACCGGAGGGAGTACTAAGGTAGTAATTACGCAGCCTAATAATTACACAATATAGTAATTACGACGATCTATTTGTTTGTCATAACGTTATTACAATGTAATTACAAGAGTACAACTTGGTTGCACAAGTGTAATTACGCAATTAAATTAAAATTCAAATGAAGTATTTATCAAAACTTAAATCGTTGCCAATTAAGACAAATTGTTATGGGTCGTTTGGTAGGATGTATTAGATAAAATAATGTTTGCATTAGCTTTGTGTATTAATAATACCTTGTTTGTTAGACATTTTGAACCTATGCTTTAGTTCTGCAAGTATTAGTTATACATCGTATTTGGTATTATCCTATGCATAACTAATGCATAGAAAACCATGGTATTAGCAATGCAATGGGTTTTAATGCATGCATTAGCTTAATTAAAGAAAAAATGTCCTTCAAAATTTATGCTTGATTAAAATATGCTAGTTATTACATTAATGCAAATTTAAAATAATTCAAATAGTGAGAAATAAAATTATATCTCTAGTAAATAAATAAATACTTAGCATATTTCCTTTTTTATAAATAAATATTTAGTTCTATATTACAATATAGGTATACAAATCAAATAATTTTTTAAAACTTTTTCATATAAAAATATTTCTCAACATATGTTTCTTTTAAAAAGTTTTAGAGTGATGGACTGGTTTTGGGGGTATTTTTGTAAACAAGCAATTCTTTTAGAAATTGTGCAATGCTTTAATACATCAAACCAAACAACGGATAAGAAACATGTCAGCATAACTAATACCAGCACTAATGCAAGCATAACTAATACCAGCATTACTAATACATCATATTCACTATTATTCTTATGCACCCTACCAAATGACCCCTTAATGTGAAAAGAATTAATTCTGGAGAAAATTCAACACTCTTAATTTAATTAGAAATTGAATAAAAAATTTTACTCAGAGGATTGCGAGCATGAAACACGTCATATTTTGAACGATACTGAAAATATCTTTATAATTTTAAGGCCAAATTGACGCATGTATTTCACTTCTACGCATACAAACTGATGTTTTAAGGCATCGTTTGGCATGCGGACTGAATTATTTTGGTATTATAATCTAGGAATTATAATTTTTAGATTAATTTTTTTTATTTGGGAGGTGAGATAAAATAATCCTAAATTTAATAGAATAAGATGAAATACCTAAGATTAAGCTAGCGCTTGGACATAAATTTGGTTGAAACTTGAAAAAAATTGAGTTTTTGAAGATGAGATAAAAAATAATTTTTAAAAGTTGAAATTGTGTTTGAACATGCATTTTACTTGAAAAGAATTTGAAGTTTAGTGAGTAGAAAACTTCAATATCTACTTGTTTACCCTCAAAATCGGATTACAATTGAATTTATACGCGATTCTAAGGATACGTGATATAATTCGACATAAATTGAAAAAACAGTTTAATATTAAAATCAATGACAGAAAAGTGAATGCAAACCACACAAGTTGAACAGTGTTAACCTTGAAGGCTGGTCACCCTCGAGTTAGAAAGTGCCTCAATCGATGTGAGAATAGAATAATAAGATAATGAGAACTAGAAATAACAGTGTATTACTTTTTGATGTGTGTTACAATGTGTATTGCAAATAGTTAGACCCCCTTTATATAATAGGGGAATCCTACTTTAGATACAATTCTACAAAAGGTAAGAAATCTCATGATTTGCTAATTAGTCGGTCTCTCATTGATACGTGCCGAGATTCCCGCTGTGATATCCGACCGGTTACGGATATTTCGGCCTTCCGTTATTCGGTCCAATAATACTTCCTTGAGTTTGATCGGAGTCGGGGTCGGTTCCGGAGCTACGGGCTCGATGATCTTGAAGACGCATGCTCTAACTTCGTTCCTTGGTTCGATATAATTAGGGGTTGATCTTCAACCCATCACGTTTCACCCCCAATCTGTCATGCAATAGATGGGCCCGATTTCGACCGTTTACACTACTCCAAAGCTATTTTTGGGATTTGAAAATTTTGTTTTCAAATTCTGGCAAAAAATAATTAAAACCTATAAACAAACAGATATTTAAAAATAAAATTTGAAAAAAAGCTCCCAGATTTTATGGCTAGACAGGAGCTAAGTCAAGATAAAATTTATATTATATTTAATTGACGCTATAAAATAATCCCAAAATAAATATATACTGCCAACCAAATACATATTATTTTAATCACACGCCTTATTCCTGCTTATTCCGTGTACCAAATGACCCCCAAATACCTATGATCATTGATCGAGTTGAGTGATTTTACTGAGAGCGGGGAAAAATAAAAGGAGCTTTTAACCGTAAATACATGCCTCGAATTGCATTGAAAAATTTATTGGATTTATAGTTGAAACCAAAAGAAGTTTGAGACTTTACCAATTAAGACAAATCGTTAATGTGAAAAGAATTATTATTCTGGAGAAAATTCAACACTCTTAATTTAATTAATATTTAATCCAGAAATTGAATAAATTTTCTTACTCAGAGGATTGTGAGCATGAAATACGTCATATTTTGAACCATACTGAAAATATTTTTATAATTTTAATGTTGTAAACAAATATCTTTAGTAGGAGAATAAGTAACTTACTACATTGAAATCAAATAAATAAGACATTACTAGAAGGTTGGCGGCTAGCATAATATTAATATGTCATGTTGCATAAATATTTAACAATATGCCCACCATCAAGTACGACTTTTGTAGATTTCATTATTTTTTATGTCCCTTTTAATGACGTGTTATTGGTATGTTATTAGGGGCAATTACGACAAAATTGAGCACAATAAAGTGATCTCCTTATTGTTTGACAAAAAAAATGTAAATCTTTGATTAAACTAATTAAATATGTATAACGAGGTGTTAGACTTAGTTAATAATAATAACCTCAGATCTACAACCAATTAATGAGAATAACGTAGAGCAACACTTACAGCAGATCAAACGCAAGGAGCATTTAATGTTTTAAGACCATTAATGAGGAGGAAATATAAAGCAATAAATGGCAATAGAATAAATAGAGAAAACGCTTAACCCAATATTGAATGAGGTGGATGATTCCTCCTTATAACAATGATGAATGATAAACAAAAATCAGAATATTTGGACCCTTCTTGGATCTGGTGGAAAAGGTGTGAAATAATAGAAGATCGAATCTCTTTAGAAAGGTAATATTTGTATTCAATCTAGAGAGAAAATATGTTTTTCATAAAGTGTGTTCTTATTCGAGAATATTACAAACCTATCACCTGATCTCTCTTTCTATTTATGAGGAACATACCTTCAATTAACCCTAAAAGTACAAATAGAGAGAATATTCAGTGGAATATTTCCTCAAAAATCCTGTTACTAAACTAGATGTTACTGCTCCTTCTGATACTTGACATCGGCCATGATCGACTACTCGGCGGTGAATTCCATTGGTTATTAGTCGACCTCGACCAAATTGCTTTCAATATACCACTTCGTATCGAATATCCTTAAATCAGATTTTGATCCATACACTTACGGCTTAAGTGAATCATCGTAGATCAATGGTTCATATGTAAGTTATTCCTTTGTAAAAAAAAAGTAAGAGATAAGAATCTTGAATTGTAACATTAGTTAGACACAAGCACTCGTCGAATAAGATAGAAATATTTTTTTGTTTCTCATCCGGTGTCCGGTACTCGTACTTGAGCCCGACTATATTCGAATTCGCATTGGGTAGGGCCCCATTTGTGGGGTAATGCTCCTTACCAAGGATTTTTCCATACCCAGGGCTCGAATTCGAGACCTCTAATAAAGAAGGAACAATCATATCCACTACACCACATACTTTGGTGGTGAATAAGATAGAAATATCATGTACATGTATTTATATATAGTTTTAATGCAATGGAATTGATAAATGCAATAGCGATTAAACTTCCGTAAGAAAATCACAAGGTAAAATAAGAAACGAATTACTAATTGAATCAATTCAGTGGATCGCGATATAAATTCTGAATGGAGAAATCTTGACCTCGCCTTGTGCTTTTGTAGATTCAAGTAACTGTGTCTCATTTTTTGAATTATTAAGTCTTGAAAATTCAATGAATAAATTCTGTTCGTTAATTCATTTGTGAGTATGTTTTATAATACGTAAAATTCAAGTGGGCGGCAATGATTTTGAAATTGACGACGTGCCTGACACGCAGTAACAAAGAGCGTGAATTGGTGACGAAGAATATTATCATAAACAGACGATGTACATAAGCTATTTGCAACGTGGCCTCCAGTAATTGCTTTATTTTCCTGGGCCCCGCTCTTG